AGGCTGTACGATAAATGCCGCCAGAGATTGCTCCCCAACGGAAAGTTTTCTGAGTTTCTCCAAGGTCTTTGTTTCTTGTGAATTTCCTTTTGTAATAGTCTCTTTTCGTTTGAATGCTGTGAAGACTAGAAAATCAACAGCTTTACGGCTTGGATTTCATTGAGGTCAGTTTTTAGAGTTTTCCAGGAATGTGCCTCGCTGCTGTTAATAATGTTCTGCTTGAACCACTGAGCACAATTAGAATTTTATTTTTTATGTTCAGTGTAACTTATCTGTACAACCTTGGGTTTGTCTTTTAAGTGGCTGAAGACCTGACACCTGACACTGGGTAGATGGGATCAACATAGTTTATTAGTCAAATATACTCCTAGCTCAGGGAGGGCATGGAACACCCAGGGCCACCCAGGGACTGCATTTAGGGAATAGAGGGAACAGCCCAGGGCTGTGGGAAGCAAACTCTAGTAGAGTTTAATGAGCAGGGTGGGATTCCTGGTTTAACAAGAGGCTGTGAATAGCTTGTTTGAATAATTCTGCAGCTCATTAGGAAAGTGAAACCCACTACTTCAGGATAAGCAAGAACTGTGTCATAATCCCCTTGGATAAGGAGGGTTATAACCACAGAGCAGAATTTGCAGCTAGACCATTCAAAGAAAGCCCTCCCGATTTTATCAGATGTAAAGGCAGCTCCTGATGTTGGGCCTTTTGTTCAGGGCCCCTGGACAGTGAGAACCAGCTGCTCCTCGGAAACACTATGTAATGGTGCTATGAGTGGACAGGCACTTAGCTACAACAACATAGGGCTTTGGAAGCTGTAAATCTTTATGGGAGCAGAAAGTTTTATCTTTTTCTTGCACAGTGGCTGCTGGGTTTGAATTGCTGTCGTTACAATTAGAATCCTGAGTTTATCCTCAAGATCCAGGGCTGTTGTATTGGAGAAAGTGCAGTACTAGGGAACCAGCATCTCTCTCTCTCTGATTTTCACACTTGCTTGCACTTTCACAGGAAGTGAATAAAAATAAAGATCTGATGGTTACTTTCTGTTTGGCTCATTGTCCTAATTGAGTACCTCAATAGCTAATGGTTCAGCAGGAATTAAGTAAATTACCAAATTCTTGGCAGTTTACCTAGGAGCCCTCCTGTTTCTAAAGGATAAGCACTGAACTGCTACTACAAGGTTCGTAGTTCAAATCCATCAGCTGCTCCATGGGAGAAAGATGAGGCTGTCTGCTTCCAGAAAGATTTATAATATCAGAACCTGTAAGGAGCAGTTCTGCTCTGTCCTACATTGTCTCAGCATGTCAGAATCAACTATGGCATTCGACTGGTGTTTTTCTAAAAAAAAAATTGTGTGGCAGTTTACTGGATTCATGTCTAAATTTTAATGTTCATGACCCTTGTTCTCAGTCAGCATGTTTAAAGATTTTGGAAATTGTTCACCTGTAATTTCTCAAATTCAACATAATGAAAAATGCATATTCAGAGCACCAGCAACTGATGTTGTTATGATAGCTATCTGGTTTATAAAATGAATTTTATAAATATAATACCATTTTCCCTGCTACTCTAGAGTGTTCCTATGAAACCTTTTGCAAGCATTGCTGTTGTTAAGTGCCATCGAGTTGGTTCCAACTCATAGCAACCAGAGTTTGAACCATCAACCTTGCAGTTCAAACCTACCTTGCAGTCTAGCGCATTAACCCACAGTGCCACACCAGGACTCTATTTACCATTAATTTATATAGGAAAAAAATGGGGGCACACCCAGACTAAAAAAAGAACCTACCAAATCATACCAAGTAACACATAATCTTAAAATAACAACTAACATGCATTGTTCACAGATAGTTCAAAGCTTGGTGGCTTGATTCTGAGCATAGTTCCCCGGGAAGCAGCTTGGCACCATCACTCTTGCTGCTCTGGGTGTGTGCTACCTCTCTAACAAACGCTTCACAACAAATGTTACACAACAAAAACCAGTTGAACACTGGCCTTGCTTTCCACCTTTTTTCTCCCCCTGTAAAAGCGAAAATCCTCTTCAGATTTCTTTTGGTTAGTGAAAACAGATACTAATTTAAGTCTTTCATAAAAGCAAAATGGCACAAAATGAATTTTTGAGAATCAGGCATATCTGTAGTGACTTGTAGTCAGATTAGTTTATAGTATGTCTATTTGTGTGACATATTTAGGCTCTAATTGATTTTTTCTTGTCAGTCTGTTGAAGTAATATGAGTCAGTTGAAGAGAACTTGCTTTCCTTAGTTACCTTGTATTATCCTGAGTGTCCTGATCTTTATCAACTTCATAGGTTACCAGACCACTTGGATTTGTTGAGAGTTCCTGGGTCTAGTGTTATGTGAAGAGGTGTGCTATTAAACAGCATTCATACACTTTTTAAACCTCTTCCTACAGAAGTTTCACACAAAAAATTCTATTTCTGTAGCATAATTGTTACGAATCAGACTGCAAACCTCAAGGTCACTAGTTCGAAACTACCTGCTATTCCGCAGGAGAAAGATGAGGCTTTCTGCTCCCATAAAGATTATTGCCTCGGAAACCCTGTACAGGGTCGCTATGAGTCGGAGCCACCAACCACCACTACATAGCTTACGTGTTCCAATAGTTCATGTTTTGTTCTATTTTCTAAAACAAAAATGCTGATCATGATCCATTAAGTTAATTTCACAACCCATGAATAAGTAGTTGCCTGTAGTTTGAAAAATACTGCAATGAAGTAACTAGTCAAAGGTGTTAAAGTGCCGTCAAGTCAGTGCCGACTCAAAGCAACCCATGTAGAGTTTCCAAGCAGTGGCTGGTGAGTTGTAACTACTGACTTAGCGGTTCAAATTGACCTTGTGGACCAGTGCTTTTTTTTTTTTTTTGTCTCCCTACTTTAATTCAGATGGCTGACGAGACCACAGTGGGTGTGTTTTTTATTTTGTTTTTAAGGTGTCTTCTAGGAAAAGACAGTAAATAGTGTATGAGTTGGATATTTGCCAGATCATCTGGCAAAGGAACCCTAAGTTTCTGGTAGGCTTGTTAACTTTGTGCTCTCAACTAGGAACTGCAACATTAGAATGAACAAGCTAGTACAGCATTTTTTGTTTTGAATCTGACTTCTTGTTTATGAGCAGTGCAGTAGAAGGGAAAGGATGAGAGGACAATTTGCTTTTCAGATGAAAGAGTAGGATGTGCTGGGAAAGTGCACACACACAAGTGACTTTTTTTATGTGCCCCCCAGATATCGACAGCAATGCTAGTAAGTCGATTCTGACTCCGCAACCCTGTGGGACAGAGTAGAGCTTCTCCATAGGGTTTCTGATGCAGTAAAACTTTACAGACGTGTACACGAACTCATCTCTCTCTTTCAGAGCAGCTGGTGAGTTTGAACCACCAACCCTTTCAGTTTAGCTGCCCAACACTTAATGCACGGCGCCCCAAGGTTTCCACAAAGGAATATGTTATTGTTAAGTGTCGTCAAGTTGGTTCCAATTCATAGTGACCCTGTATAGGATTTCCAAGGAGCAGCTGGTGGCTTTGAACCGCTGATGTAGCAGTTAACAGTCATAGTGGTGAGGAGAACTGTAGCACCACACCAGGACTCCACAAAGGCATATAAGGAAGGCATTTTTATCTTCAGGTAGCTTTTCAGACCAATGGATCCTTGTATTGTAGTACCTGAGAAGTGAACCCAGTCATCTTTCAATTATTTAGCTCTCTGTTTACTTCATTGCCCCAGTACTTGTCTTTTAGGAATTCCATGAAAAAATAGAAATAAATAGAAAAATATGTTAGTTTCACCTCTGATTGGAGAAATAAAAAAGACAGTAAATTTAGTCATTGTGGTTAGAAACCCTAAACATGATACTGAGCTGTGGTGTAGCACTGTAGAATAAGCACTGGACTGCTAACTACAAGATCGGCAGTTCAAACCCAACAGCCACACCTTGGAAACCTAATACAGGTTGCTATGAGTCAGAATAGACTTGAAAGCATACAACAACAAACATTGTTACTAGGGAGATAGGGGCTCCGAAAAGTTCATGGAAAATGAAGTTAAAAGATACTTGAATTTTTACATGAACTTTTTGAATCCCACTTGTATAAATTGCCTTACACTTTTCCAACACTTTCGCATGCATTACCTCTACCTCCATTGATTCTCACGGCATCCTGGTGTGATGCGCAGGCCAGGAGGCATTTTGCAGATGAGGAATAGAGCTTTTTCCTTTCCCACTACCAAGATCAAAAAGTGGCAAAGTCAGCACTAGAACCCAGATCATCTGGGACATTTCCCCCAGTTGTTCATGATATCCTTTTTGGTCTAAAGAAGCAGTAATTGAGAGTAGATAGTGTTCATGGAGCTAAGAAAATCCACCTTTGATTAATGAACTATTCTGTTCTCCTCAGATCATGTTCCTAATATTCTATAATTGAATGCAAATGCATCTTATGTGACTCTGTGGGTTAATGCATTGGACTGCAAAATCGGATTGAACTGCTAGGTCGGCGGTTCAAGTTCACCAGCTGCTCACTGGACATCCTATACAGGGTCACTATGAATTGGAACTGACTCAACAGCACTTAACAAACAAATAAAAACATTTTAAGTGTTACATTTTTGTGCTTTTCTATCCCACTTATTTTTTAAAGATGAAGCAGTTAAATATAGACAAATCTAATAGCAAACTAGGAAAATTGGAATAGAAGGGCTATAAAAGGTCAAGAAATTCAACTGTGTCCCCATTTAATATAGCATCTCAATTAATAAGAAACTTGCTTTAAAACTACATAGAGTTTTAGATATTTCTTTAAAAAGCTGATCATTTTTCTATGCATGAATTCATTTTTTAATTGTAAAAATAGTTATCAACTTGCTTTTAGACACAGGAAAAGTCCACATTCTCCTTTATCCTTAATATCTTAACCTAAAGAATAAATTATGCATTTTCATCTGAATAAAGACTTTTGAATTAATACATTTAATTTTTCATTTGTAGATATCTGTGGAGTTTAAGGAAGCTATGGAGCTCATCAGAGTATAACACTGAAGAATGTGATGGCTGAAAACCATTTGAAAATGCTGACAATTCAGCAGTGTGAAGGAGCCAACAGACTCCCTAGAAACAGGCCCTATATTTGCAATATTTGCTTCAAGCACTTTGAAACACCGTCAAAATTAGCTAGACATTACCTTATTCATACTGGTCAAAGGCCATTTGAATGTGAAGTGTGTCATAAAACTTTTAGGCAATTAGTTCATCTGGAGAGACACCAATTAACTCATAATCTGCCTTATAAATGTAATATTTGTCAACGCCATTTTAAAAATCTGAAAACATTTGTGAAGCACCAACAGCTTCATAATGAAACCTACCAGAATGATGTTAAACAGGTCAGAAGACTGATGGAAGGCAAGCAAGAAAAGGCAGTTTTGGGAGTTTATCGACCTTTTACCTCAGAGGAGAAATGGGCGTTACACACGTGCTCTAAGCCTGACCCCACATATAACCCTGCAAAGAGAAGAAAGAATAGTCACGCATGTGCAATCTGTGGCAAGATGTTTCCATCACAATCAAAACTCGATAGGCATGCACTTATTCACACTGGTCAGAGACCTTTTAAATGTGTCCTGTGTGGTAAATCTTTCCGACAGTCAACTCATTTAAAGATCCACCAACTCACACATTCAGAAGAAAGGCCATTTCAATGTTGTTTCTGTCAAAAAGGATTTAAGATTCAAAGCAAACTTCTGAAGCATAAACAAACCCATACCAGGAATAGGACCTTTCAGGCTCTTTCGTTAAAGAGTCCAGAATCATGCCCCCTGCCTGATAAATTAAGTACAAAGCAGGAAGGTGTTAAAAATGGTGCTCAGGGTGGATCTGAGGAGAATAATCCATTTGATACCCATTCTATTTATATAGTCCCTTTTCAGTGTCCAGAGTGTGAAGAGTGTTTTGAATCAGAGCAGATTCTGAATGGACACAAGTGTTTTCCTGCCATAGATGGCAAAACTTCAAGCAGGCTCAAAAGAAGCTACAACTATAAAACCGTTGTTAAAAAACTCTTGGCCAAGCTTAAACGTGCTGGGGGTAAGAAATTAGATAACTTCCCATCTGAGAAAAAACTATTTAAAAACAGTTTCTTGAAAAATTGTGATCTTTTTTCTGGTGAGCAGAGCTCTGAACAAACTCAGAGAACATTTATGGGTTCTCTTGCCAAACATGGAACATACAAGACAGTTAGCAATAAAAAGAAAAAAACATTGACTTTGCCATTCTCTTGGCAAAAGAAATCCCAGAGCCAACATGGGGGGAAAACTTTGAAAGGTGTCCGTACATCAGAAAGCATGTTAAGTATGGATAGTTCTGTAAATAATAAAGATGTGTCTGTCTATAGTTCATCAGGTAAGGAATTCTTTAATAATTATGAAATACTTCAAGGTGGTTTTTCAGTTCCAAGTGAAAGTATACATACTGGACATAAAATGTGTCCTTGTGACAAGTGTGAGAAAGTATTTCCTTCTATATCTAAACTACAACGACACTATTTAATCCACACTGGACAGAGGCCTTTTGGCTGTAATGTCTGTGGGAAATCTTTTAGACAGTCAGCTCATTTAAAAAGACATAAATTAACTCATACTGAAAAGATTCCTTATAGACGATCTTTTTGCCAAGTGGAATTTGAAAATTTGAACAAACTTTTCAATCATCCGGGTGATAATGTTAACTGTAATGCTTCCCCGCTGGATCAGGCTCCATTTGGCTTTCAAAAACATGAGGTCTCTGAGTCAGATCAAATATCAGAAATAGACATTAAGGCAGAATCAGAGGATTTCATGTTTGGTCCTCACTGTAGCAGCAGACAGCCCTACCTCTCCACTGCATGTCTGGAGTCAGAGCAGAGCCATCGGGGGCACTGTTGCAGCTGCTTGGAGCACGCTGAGAGGAATGATGGTCTCCTTTACCAATGCAGTGTATGTTCTAAAAGTTTCAGATCGCCATCAAAACTGGAAAGACACTATCTAATTCATGCCGGGCAGAAGCCATTTGAATGCTCAGTTTGTGGCAAAACATTCAGACAGGCTCCTCACTGGAAGAGACATCAACTTACTCACTTTAAAGAACGACCCTAAGAGGAAATGATTGTCTTAAATTCAGTTATATAACTGACACAGTCACTAACACGTTTATGGTTTGTGATGATCTTGTTCTTAAAACCACGTGTCATTTAAGTTGCATTCTTATCCAAAGGCCTACATTAGATTGAATGGGTTTCATAAGCAATTACTTGTCCTGCATGGTGAGGAGGTAATATAAAGAAAATTGATATAGTTTAAGGATAGCCAAATTAATTTTTGGAGGGAAGAACATGGTTTAATGCTGTAAAGTAAGCATTTTATTTGAATATAAGCATATAGTTTGACTATATAATAGTGTTACAAATCCATGGTGCTGTATAAATGATTCTGCCTCATTCATTTTTTAAAAGGAATTATTCCTGACGACATGCCATCTCCATTAAAATATACTAAAAAAGAAAATCTGGGAGGCAAAAATTCTTTCCTAAGTGTAGTAAATTGCTAAATACCGTAGAGTCAGTTCTGGCTAATAGCGACCCTGTATATGGTTTCTGAGGAGCGGCTGGTGGGTTGGAACTGCTAACCTTACAGTTAGCATTCCAGTGCTTACCCTACAGTGCCATACCAGGATCCCAGTGTAGTACATTACTGTTAAGTGCCATTGAGTCAGTTCTGACTCATTGCAACTCTATGAGTATAGAGCTTCTGAGGAGTGACTGGTGGGTTTGAACCACCAACCTTTTGGTTAGAAGTCCAGTAGTTATCATACAGCGCCACAGCAGGACCCCAGTATAGTAAATAGTACCACTGTATTTCATTCATTTTACACTTAACCTGAAAGCGTAATTTTTTCCACTCGCAGGCCAGATTCTAGTACATTTCTTTACTTGTGACTTTAAAAAAATACTGGAGGTAATAAAAGTGAAAATGGATAAGAAAATTATAGCACTATTTTCATTAGTGTCTTCAAAGCCATTTATGTTTAGAACTATGTTAGTTCCACGTTTTCCTTAGATGAGGAAATCATTTTTAGGATGGAGGCCAAGATGTACTCACCTATATTTACCATGTTCACTTGCCAAGAATGTTTCCAAGTGCCATGATCTTTTTGATAATATGTGTGCAATTCTATCCTTTTAGAGGAGTCGATCATGTATTTGCTTGCTAATGGTTGACAGCAATAGTTGTAGACTTCAGACTCTCATCTAGAGACCTGTAGCCATCCCTATGGTGGTGGTGTGCCCTGGAGTCGGTCCCGACTCATAGCAACCCTGTAGAGAGTTCTGAGGCTGTAACAAAAAAACCTCATCTTCTCCCTTGAAGCAGCTGGTAGATACGAACTGCTGACCTTGTGGAGAACCGCCCACTATGCTACCAGGGCTCCTTGCATTCTCATAAGACTTAACATTTACATCAGGGAAGCATTTCATGCCTCTGAGTGGCCCTCTGACTTACTAAGCTGGATCAAGTAGCAATCATTTAAGTTCAGTTCCTGGTGGTGCTTTAGGATAAGCATTGGACTGCCAGCCATATGATCAGCAGTTCAAACCCACCAGCCTCTCTTTGGGAGACAGATGAGGTTTTCTGCTCCTTATGCAGGGTCGTGATGACTTGGAATGAACTCAATGGCAGTGAGTTTGGTATGTTTTGTGTTCATTTGAATGCCAAAAACCCATGATCCTTGCTACATTTTGTATAAGATACTTTCATTGTTGAGGCTATCATTCTATATAGACGTGTCATGATTGGGGAAATACTAATCTAACTTACAAACTGGTCATATTTGCCATTGTATATTAAATCTTCAGTGGTGATTTTTGGAAATAGAAGAATTTAACCATTATATTTCTATAAAAGGAAGAATAGGTGGATATTTATCCTAGCACACTTAAATATAGGGGAAACCTTCATTGAGAATGTGAACAAATGAACAAATCTTGGGGATGAGCGGGGAGATCTGTTTATTTCTAATGCAAGTGAAATCAAATTTAGAGACAAAAAATGATGAGATAAAATGCCCACGGATGTGTAAATGTGCCTTTAAAATAAAAAAGGAATCAGCTGCGACATGTACTAAAACAGAAGATAATTATATGTGTTACAGAAGAATTTCTGTAGGTTTTTTTCTCAAAATATGCTCCTCCAGTGCAAGCAAGATGATGGTTTACAGAGTTTATGCAAATTTTTCAAGAACATATCTATCACATAAAAGCAAGAAGTGACTAGTTCAGTTTTCTAAAAACACGTAAATATTCAAGGTGGTTTATTTCTTACAATGTCTGAAATTATGTGTTGGCATTTTCCTAATCTATTTATGTAATTTTATTTGAAGGAAATGTATATATATATTCCTTTTTCAAATGACTGGGAGAATTCTAACAGTATTGTGCTTGTATATTATGAGACTTTATTTGCCTAAGTGATAAACTTTTTTTTTGGTCCATGGCATTTTAAGCTGCTTCGTATTGAAAGTTGGAAAAGTGTAAAAATTTTTGTCAAAAATGTACTGTAGTGCTATTTGAGTACCTGTAACAAGATGCTCATTTACCTTTATTATGATTGCAAACTTCTTGTGGAAACATTATAGGCATGAAAATAACCGATATACTATTTATACCAAGAAGATTTCACATTACATGTTAAATAACAGTTTGCTGCACATTAGAACTGTTAGTATTGTTGAATCAATTACTTTGGTTTTCTGAAAACAAACTATAAATATCTCTAAAGAGAACTATAAGAATTTTGTGTTCAGCGCTTCCAGGCCATAGCATGATTATTTACTGAAATAGGTTAAGTGGAATTTCAGTTTCTGGTTTTTCAACTGCACTAGGGCCTACCATTTTAGGATAAAAATGTGTCTATGTAAAAGGGAATTATAAATGTTCGTTAAATTCTTGAAAAATATAGATTTCAGAATATTTTAAAATAAAGTTTAAAGTTATACAGCTTGGATGTCTTTGTTAGTATGTTTTTTGATTAAATAAAATCACATGATCATGTGACAAAGTACTACAGATTGCCAAACACTTCCTTCCCTGGGTCCAATCCAGTCTATCTTCCATACTGAATCCCCTGACAAGAATATATTTTACTTCTTGCTTCACAATACGTTTGACAGTCCCTTATCATCTACAAAAGAATATGTTAACTCCATCACATACCTTAAGATCTACTGCTTGCACACTCATCGTTTCTTTCTTTCCAGATTTATAATTAAGAAATACAGAATTAGTTCTTCTAATCCGTAAGAACATTTTTGGGTTTTTTTTTTTTTGCCTCCATCTTCTCTGTTTGTTGTGTGTTATTGAGTTGAGTATGATTCATAAGGCCCTAGAATAGAATTGTTCCATAGACTGTTTCCTAATGATTAAATGGAATGTGGAGTGAATAGTATTTGGCAAATACATTGGCATACTTTTATTCATTCTTTGAGTTTTTAACCTAAATTCTACTTTTTCACTGGAAGCCTTTCTGATATACCCATCTCTCTACTCCCACTACTTTTACATTAACTCCATTGTCACTGTCTATCTTCCACCAGACAAGTGGCTGTCAAACTTCAGTGTGCAGCACAATGAGAGGGTTTGCCAGCTTACTGGCCCACACCCTTGGTGCTTCTTACTAAGTTCTAGAATTAAACTGAGAATTTGCACTTATTATATATATTACCTTCTCAAGTAATGCTATTGGTTTACTTACTAGTAGGGAGCTCTGGTAGCGTAGTGGTTACGAATCGGGCTGCGAACCTTAAGATCAGTGGTTCGAAACTACCAGCCGCTCCGCGGGAGAAAGATGAGGCTTTCTACTCCCGTAAGGATTTACACCCTCGGAAACCCTGTACAGGGTCGCTATGGGTCGGAACCGACTCGACGGCACTTAACAACAACAACAACAAAAGTGATATTATATGTTGAGAACCATTGAGCTAGAGTACATAGCTCTGGAAACAGGAGATACATATTTTTATTTTTTATATGGGGGGGACTCATATAGGTTCTGGCAAATATTAGGTCCTTAAGTCTTTATGAAATGTACAAAGGAGGGAGAGAATGAATTAAACCATTATTCCAAATTTTTACACTCCCCTTAAATCTGTAACCTCAATTAGATCCTTTCACTCTCAAAGAATGATAACTTTGCTGTTATCAAAATCAATCCAACACGAATTGTCAACTTCCCTCCTCTTCACCCAAAAAAGTCTCTTGTTTCTGGGTTAGCAATCTAGTATTTATCCTACAATGCCACACCAGGATCCATTAGACTGTCTCTGGTTCCTTTCCTTTATCCAACTTCCTTATTATAAAACAGAAAACTTGTAAAATAGAGGAAAACTATGAAATACACATATTAGAAATAACGTGAATATAAAAACCTGTCTGCCAAAATTTTGGCTGAGAGAAGTGGTATTAATTGGGAGAGATACTACCTTTCTTTGTATCTTGCCATAAATTCATTGTTAAGTCCCATCAAGTCAGTTCCAACTCACAGTGACCCCTATATAGGGTTTCCAAGGAGTGGCTAGTGAGTTTGAAACACTGACCTTGTGTTTAGCCAAGCAGTGCTCATCCTACAGCACCACACCAGGACTCCATAAATCCACTAGATATTATCAATTAAAACCATTCACATAGATTAATAGAAAGCTATATTAGGTCTGGTGCTTATTGGCTTAATGTCCTCAGTACCACTTAGCCACAAAATTATTTATATATATATATATATATAATATATAAATTTATCATATATTATAGTAGGCAAATGAACTACTCATCAGTACCTGGATTTTCTCCTGCTCCCTCAGTCTGTCTGTACAGAAGTGGAAGCATCTTTTACATTAAAAGCTGTTATACCTTTGTTTTTTGTCTCCATTGTGTTCTAAGGTTCCAGTGTTCTTTCACTCATGTAGGATGAATTTCTCTTTATTCCATCTTGTCAGTGTCTTTTAGGGTTATCCCTTCTGGTTTATTCATACTAGCAAAACCCAAATTTATGCCTTTTAAAAACATGTCCCTTGAAAGTCATGAAAACTTAGACATTACCAAAAATACCTTGAAGGAGTGAGTCACTGGGCCTGGTGGCTCAGG